TTAATGAGGAAAACACAATAGAAAAAAAAACAGTGAAGAGTGTTGTAATATTTGATACACAAAAAAATTGATTTGCATAAACTTCAAATCTAATTTTCTAAAAAAAATTCAATTTCATCTTTCAGTTTTTAGTAGATTAAAAAAATATACACCTAAACGTTTCACAAGTAATTGTCAAAAAAAAGTGTTGTATGGGCTTTACAATCTCTCGCTTCAAAAAAAATCATGTTGTAAACATTACTAGAAAACTAATGGAAAAAAAATAATGGGTTAATTATAATCTTTTTGGTCCCTAAAAAAATGGAACAACTCTAGTTTTTAGAGGAAGTCACAAAAAAAAACAAAACATGTTCCAGATTAACTAATAGCCACAAAAAAAAAGAAACCCTAATCATTAACTTAAGTTATAATAAAAAAAATATATAATAACAACAACAGAAATACTTTTATTTACTTAAATGAAAAACAAATCAAGCAAAACACATACAGAAAAAAATGATAAGGTTGTCTACCTTTAATAAGAAATTTAAAAAAACCATCAATTGCCATGTGAATCATGAAAATATTCACTTTCCATTCATGTACATTATAGAATATCTGAGTGTGAAAAAAAGGAGAAATGAAAAGTCACCTTACAAATTTTGAAAAAAAAATAGACAATGTTCCACATGCAGAAACTTAATAAAAAAAAAGACAAGCGACAATTTGAACAGCTGGACAACCAAAAAAAAGATAGTCTGCATGCAACAAAAATAGTGAAAAGTCCTTATAATTTAAGAAGGAGCAATGTTGTAATGCCTGAAAAAAAGAACAAATAGTTTTACAAATAGATTGATTTTAAAAAAAATGTAATTTTGATATAATAGTCTATGGTAATTGAAAAAAAGTTAGCTAACAGATTGCAACCAACTGAGTACAAAAAAAAAAAACCCTTTGTCAAACATTTTATAATGTAAAAAAAAAAAACAATATTGAATCAGAATGCTGGCTAATTTAAAAAAAAGTCTCAAATTTTCCAGACATTGCTGACTTAAAAAAAAAAAGTGGAATCTCAATTTAGCATAATTTGATTGAAAAAAAATAATATAGAGAAGATACATTTATTATTTTTTGAAAAAAAAGACCCAAAATTACGAGTAAATCGAAAAAATAAAAAAAAGCATCAAATGGTTAACTCTTAACAAACCTGTAAAAAAAACAGGTATGGAGTTACATGTAACCTTGGGGTGATAATGCTAAACTTATTAGTTTGAACAACCACAGGAGGGGGACATTGGGGGGCTCTGAATACCACAATACCGCAAAAAAAATTCAAAAATCCCGCAATACCGCATGAAAAAATTGAAAATACCGCATACCGCAAAAACGAATATGGCGTTGCAATAAAAGCATTTGCAGTAAAGACTAATACAGTTATGACAACTGGTCATTCATGAACATAACAAAACGCAATCAAAAACATCAAACTAAGTTATCTAACAATTGAATATAAAAACCGTATAATGATTTGTATATATACAACAATAATTTTACCGGAAACAAGCGTAGTTGGTCTTAAACTGATGTCCACAATAGCCGAGATTGAGAACCACCTACGCCTATTTTTTAAAACACCATTCTTCGACATGCAGTAAGATCGGTTACTTATTGCTGATAATGTCTAATGTGTCTTATGGACCCTTATGGATCCTTATATGTTATCGAATAGGTCCTTCAATAAACATGTAAACATTATAAGTGTGATACAGAAGCTACCAAATGGCTTCTCGCAGTTTATAGTTACGCTTTTACGCTCCTCCTTTCCGACTTCACAGCGGAATTTGTTTTTCTTTCTATAATGTTCTCCTCCTTTTCCTTCTTCATAGAAGAACGCCAGGCATTCTATAATTACTAGGCTGTCAGACATACTTCGGAGCCCAAACAGATATGTATACGGGCTTTACAATGTAAGTACGATAACGATGTCACCAAGATTAACGAGAATGACCAGGTAGTACAGATACCTTGAGGTCATATCGGTCAAATTACATGAGAGAAATTAAGGTCTGTGATTGGTTGTATTGATTGTGAAACATTAACTTGAKATGACASGGCAGCTTGAGATATTAAAAATACACTACTATAAGTCGATTTCCGHATCCCGCAGTGTTAGGTCTRCAAGWATTTTYCTCGCAATACCGCCATTTTAAGCGATTTTTCCCGTAATACYGMATSTTAAAACTTCAAATACCGCATATCGCACAAAATACAAATCCCGCATTACCGCATTTATTTTGCCAAATTACCGCAATATCGCATGAAAAAACGGTCAATCCCGCAATCCCGCAAACCCCAATGTCCCCCTCCCACAGGGATTCCAATTCTAAAATCAAAACAACCGATTGTGTAACCATTTCTTATAGACTTTGATGGATTTTATGCGAATCAAAAAAGAAAAGAAAGAAAAATAAAAACAGAAAAAGTTTGCAATATGCCGAAATTAAAAAAAGAACACAAAATGGTTGAAAATTGAATTCCACGTTAATGTTTACACGCACTTGAATTCGCGAAAGCAAAGAAAGGAATTCATACAAAGAGATAATTGAAAGATAAAATACAAATAAACAAAGACCAATACTAGTAAAATTTAAAGATTATGTAAGCTTAAATTATGCTGATCGATTCCACATACTGTAGTCCAATGTCTAAATCCGTCACGTAATTACAAAATCTTTATGTATTCATAAATGGTAGACACGCACTTSGACATTTATAAAATATACTTAAACATCGGTCTAGATAAATATGTCCTGTTTTCAGGAAAAAAATGGGACGTTAAYTCGTGTAATGCCATTGCTTATGAGAAAGAAATCCGAAGCGAATTTCCATGTAAAAAGTTAAGTTATTCATCCACAAAGACAACACTTTAATATCTCTCACACAACGCCTTGCTGGCATAAAATGGTCGCTTCWAATTGAGTTACTGACAAGAAAGCAGACTCACCTTAAGAAGAACACCCATTTCAAGCAGACAGCGAACCATTGGAGGAAAAGATCTGGCATACATCARRGACATTTTGAAGAAAAGTGCCCGAAATAATCGATCTCGTGCATGGATAAGCGGATTTGCCGGTTCTCCTGGCATCTTCAATAGCTGTTCCAATTTTAATTGAGGTATWTATATGGGTTTTCAGCAACTAGATTTGGTTAGGAATGGTTTGAAGTCACCTTTTGTTGAATTCATCTTCTCTTTCAAGCAAATACACTACGACGACTAGACCCAGTCTTGCGCGCAGTAGAATAGGAAGTGACGAAAGAAAATCCACAGGAATACCATACAAGAAAATAAAGTAATAAAATATATATTTTTAATACTTTTTTTTAAATATTTCACCAAAAAGTTTGCTCTCACTGAATTAGTCTTGTTTACAAATATAGCTGTGTCGTTTTAATTAGACTAATTCAATTGATTCCACCAATTTTTAACTCAACAGTCAAATCATCAAAAAGATGACAGTTAAAATAAATAATATAATCCATGTATTTTATTGAGTATTTTATTGAGGTAGCAAAGAAACAAAATATCAAAAAGGGCGATCACAGATCGCCAACATCGGCTTCCAGTAGCAATATATATAGCGGATATTGAGTCGATATTACATGGGCGCGCGGAGATACGGATTTTATCTTCGGAAAAATATCAATTTTACATAATGGAGAAATATAGGTATTTMATAGATAATTTATATGATACGAATAGATAACAAACATTTACCACTARCTTCTACAACTGTGACGATGTTGCGTGACGACCCTTGTGATTATCATATKCAAGAACCAACCAATCAACCACCAGCAACAAATCACTATATTTGCATAGTGTTCCAAACAAACAAAAAAAATCAGGCTGATTCCAGTGCAATTACCAAGCAATCTACGTGACAAAATCAATGATTCCTCAACGTCTCTTTTCCTTGTTGGTACTATTTCAATTTTATGGTATGTGTTCGAGCGAGTATGATGCCGAAGTCTTGATTTTRGGGGCCGGGATGGCGGGAATAGCAGCTGCAGAGATTTTGGACAATTCTGGCATAAAAAACTTTATTCTCATCGAAGGAGGTGATCGAATAGGAGGTCGCGTCAAAAGCATGAAATTTCACGGAACCACCATCGAACTTGGGGCAAATTGGATTCAAGGAGTTCACAATAATCCGTTGACAAATCTTGCCAAAAAGTATGGTCTCAAGGGAAATATCGAGACTCAAGAATTTGTTATTCGAAATTCAACAGGTGCCAATACAACTGACGCAGGGAATAAAAAATTATACAAAAAATCATTAGATATCATGGAATCAATCCGCCAAGAGAGAAAGAGAAATAAAGAAGAAGACATCTCATATAGAGTCGGGCTGCGTTTGGCGGGATGGCAGCCAACAAGCCCTGAACAAATGGTAGTTGAATACAACATGGCAGATTTTGAATACGCAGTTCCACCAAAGTATATTTCACTGCGAACCGAGATGAATACTAACACAAGCATAAACGCGACGGATGGCAAACAAATGTTTATTACTGATCAAAGAGGATTTTGCTACCTTATTGATAGAATTGCAGATGGATTCATGACAAGAAATGATAGCCGCTTAAAACTCAATAGTCGCGTAAAAACAATCTATTATGATGATAAAGGTGCGCGTGTGTTGACAGAAGATGGGCGCAACTTTACTGCAAAACGAGTGCTGGTAACATTTAGCATTGGTGTCTTAAAAAGCAATTCTGTGAATTTCTCACCAAGCCTTCCGTCTTGGAAAATGGAACAAATTTTCAAGCTCAATATGGTCATTTATACCAAAATCTTTATCAAATTTCCATTCAAGTTCTGGGATGATAATGAGTATATATACTACGCGTCAAAGCGTCGTGGGTACTTTCCAATTTGGCAAAATCTCGAAGCGGACTCTCGGCTGCCAAAAGGGACAAACATACTGCTCATCACCGTCACACAGGAGGAAGCGAAACGTATTGAGTTTCAAGATGACAAACTTACACGTCAAGAAATCATGACTGTTCTAAAGGGGGTATATGGTAGTGATATACCAGAAATGATTGACATGTATGCACCTAAGTGGGGCCTTGACGACCTGTATCTAGGTAAAATGGGGAATGTTGTGCACTAACTATATGTAATTACTTTTAATAAAAATTAATCTCCATGTTAGTGCGACTTCTTTACATGCAGATTATATGGCTACTACCAGGATATGCGTGACCCTCCCTTTGTCTATATCCACGAATATTCCATGCAGACATTTGAAGTGAGAATTTCCGTAGCTTCTGTCCTCGGTGCAAAGATACCATTAAAACTCGGTGGTTGTACTGTGGTTGTCAGATTTCTCAAACGTTACATTTTCGCATGCTTATAAAGGTATACTAATTCTGATGTAAACCATTTTTTTTAAGGTTCATGGGCAAACGTTCCTATTGGCATGTCAAGTAGTGACTACGAGAGTCTACARAAGCCTGTTCAGTCATTGTACTTTGCAGGAGAAGCGACGCATGAGCTGTATAATGGCTACTTACATGGTGCATACTTCAGCGGTCAAAGAGCTGCTGCTCAAATAGTTCGATCATTGCGAAGTGATACTAGTAATTGTCGATGACGCCTTTTTTACATTAATCACAATCATAAATATTCTTTTCAAAAAAAGATAATACATACAATTTTCAATTTTTACATTTTTAAAAGCACATTTCACGAAAATAACTGAGATCATTGTTATCTCGATTTTTGTTACAAATTATTATTTTAAAAAATAGCACGATTTGTTATAATTTATGACAACACAAAATTGAGACATATTTAATGATATTAATATATAAAATGGTTTGCTCAAAACAAATCCACGAATTAAAGTGAGTGCATGGCTCTCCTATTTTTAAAATCATTATTTAGCAGAATTGAAAATTGCTTATATAGAAGTACAAATGTTGTACAAAATTTACTAAGAAATTTGTCCTTGTGAGAGATTGCACGAGCGAAAGAAGCCATAGGTTTTGTTAATTGATGGGCAATGATAACTGATTTAAGAAGTGGTAAGCATTGCCTCCATTTAGTCTCCATTTTCAGGTAATATAAGGTGAAACCAACGAGTGAACTGTTGTATGTCAAACAGCGTAACCATAGCGCCTTTCGGTTATGCAAACAATCGCCGTTTTCCCCGAAAAWGTTTTTTGAAAAAGAAGTATGTCGGTAAGTTCATATAAGACAATATTAAATGTTATATGATATAAGTAGCTCAATATTGTATCAGTTGTATAATCTTTAATATTYAGATCTTTTTATATATAATCAGCTTTTTACATTTTGTATATTCAAGGAGTCATAATACTACCAAGACAACAATACTTTGCTCATTTCARGTCATTCTTAAAATAGATTTTTGTTCGTTTTGGGGATGAYAGTACGTCATCAGTTGCTAAAATTACGAAAAGCCSAAAAKWGTGCAAAGCATTCTGGTCTTGATTGTGACGTCATAGTGAAAGTGGGCTATTCTATCGTTTGTAATACAATATTATCAGTAGTSCTAAATGGTGATTTAATTGAAGAATAAACAAATACTGATGCCATGTTGTCGAACTCATAAGTCCTTCCTGATAGTCTGTCCACCACTCGCAGTCCGCTGACACTCTGAAACATTAACAATAAGCATCTGAACTTTTTATGTCACTACTTGATTTTCAATGCATTGTGGGATCAGTTTCAAGAGAAAAAGAAATCTGCCATTTCTGTCCCAAACATATCCTACAATGCATTGCGTATACGGTACATGGCGTAAAAGTTTCCGGGGTCTATTATATACTGCTAGTTTATGATTTCGATATTTATCAATACTTTGTTTTTTCTATGTTTTGTCAGACGTATTTACTTTACCTGTAATCCTGCTGCCAGKGGTAATAGATTAAGATTGAGATCTAAGCTCGATCCTGGGACGAGTGCACCGAGRTTCTACAAGCAAAGGAATCCAATTTATTTGAGATTTTTTGGTTAAATGAAATATTCAATCTTGCACAAGGCTTAAAAAAAATACTATCTAAGTCAAGTTGTAAACAAGTTGTGTGCGTCATACAAACAACACGAATTTCTTCGTGTAAATCAAAACTACAACTCAATACAACTACCTAAGTCGAGTTGAAAACAAGTTGTGCGCGTCATACATACAACACGAATTGCGTCGTGTAAATCAAGCCTACAACTCACTACAACTACCCAAGTCAAGTTGTGAACAAGTTGTGCGCGTCATACATACAATACGAATTGCGTCGTGTAAATCAACCCTACAACTACCCAAGTCAAGTTGTGAACAAGTTGTGCGCTTCATACATTATACACGGACGAACTAGGCGAATTTGTAGTGTGCACGCATCACGTCGAGTAAGCGATATTTTTCGTGTCACACATACAACACCAGCGATTATACATACTCTTTTATCAAAGAAGGCATGTGCAATGAATTTTATAATACACGTGACTTGAGAYCTATTACTGTTCCCTCATAGCGCATGTTCAGTTGTTACCTTTCCTGATGTACCACACCACATCATGGCGCCGTCTTTGCTTTTCGTCATGAACAGCTGCAAGTCCATTTTACGATCACTAAATAAACACAATCGTAGTATYAAATATACACAATCACGGTTACCGATCAGAAAGTATTGTACCGAGTCCTTTGATTTATGCTTTATCATAATTTAGAGACTATCCGGCAGAGTTGACAGCGCTTGCTTGTAAAGTATTGTTTTCACAACTCGAAAACACACATTATATCTAGGCGCCACAGTGTTATATCCTCTATTTATGATCGACATTGTTTTTTTTCAGCAAGAAAATTACACAAATTCTCAATAGCATCATCAAGACCATCACTACGACCATCAAGACGAATATCAACGTGTTCAACATCGTCAACATTCAGCTAAATCAGCTTACAGTCTTCATCAAGCTTACAATATCTCACCATGTATTATTCAGTTTAAACTCCACAGAAAATCGTGTTTCTACAGGAACAGCGTCAGGAATCTTACTGACTGTCAGTTTGATGTCCGCTGGTACAGGCATCTAAACATGATCGAACATTATTAACTACTAMTACCTCTTAATAAGAGGATGGTCATCAGAGGATTTGCTTGGAGCCCAGTTCAGATCAGATTAGTTGCCTAGACGCAGTTACGACAGCACTCAATACATTTAATAAWGCTAGACTATATAACAAAGAAATAGTTTAATATTCACTTRAGAAAAGAAGTGAACGCCCAGGTAAGTCAATTGACCCATGCATTAGCGCCCGATTTGCAMAACGGTAGTAGCGTTTACATTCTTGGACCGCGTAAACAAAGAAATCCATTATATAGCTCTAATCTCTCTAGAAGGGAAAGAATTGCAGYGTGGGTGGACAACATCTYAATYCTTTCTGACCATTTCATATTTTCTGAAATAWGATCGGTCCCTTGCTTTGCGCGCTACGCTGCGGGAGCAATAAATCACACAGCATGACGATTGATTAGACTGATATCTTACCACTCTAGTTAACTGACTTGTTTGAAGTCTTCCTCGCTCACCAAATGACGTTCGCCATACAATGTCTAACTTGCCAACTACAGAAGCAGACTACAAACAAATAACACGATTCTCATGCAGTAACCAGCAGTATGATATAACAATGGTGATGAGGTTGACACCCCCCTGAAACCACGCCTGGGGGGGACTCCAGGGTAAAAGTACCGAGGATGCTCGTCGGATTAATAGGGGRTAAAAATTCATGATCTTTTAGGGGTCTTGTTGAAAATTTCTGACGTACATCCCTGGTACTCTCAGTATAAAAAGTGCCAAGTAGGAAAAAGTTATCAACTTTAAGATTTCATAAGTTAGCATGATTAATCAGATAGGACGTTTCCTCAACCATGTCAAATTGTATTCAGTGTATACAAGTATTTTAAATAAGGTTGTCGGATAAAATGACGATTGTCAATAGTCAAACGTCGATTGCACGACCGAAAGGAGCCATGGGTTTTGCTAATTGAGGGGAAATTACAACTGATTTGTGCTGTGAGATAGTCTGTGGTAAACATCGGCTCCATTTAGTCTCCATTTATATGCAAGGTGAATCTCATAAGTAAAACAGTGTAAGCATTGTCCCTTTCGGTCGTGCAATCTTCCTTCAACAATTGCCGTTCCCTGACAACGTTATTTGACAAAGGTGTATGTTAGCATATATTTTCATTCTGGACGATCATCTTTAGCAGACATGTGCTGTCCATCCTTACAATGGCTGTAAGTATGTGATACCTTTGGATTTCGTTCAAATGGTGCTTTTGGTGTTAACATATACAGGTACTGCCTAGTATCACTGGGTGGAAGGAACGAACCACGACCAAATACATTCTCTGTTGATGATTCTTCACTGCAGAAGATTTGCAAAAACAAAAACAAAAAACAAAGATCAGTTAACAATTATTTAGGTACTACATTGCATACATGGAGTCAAATAATAATATTATAGATGCAGTAAGCTAAAAACTGAAATGTAATATGGAAATAAGATTACCTATTTGTGTTATTTTCTACTAAATTAAGATCAGCTACATTATAAGCAAGAGATGGTTCTAGTCTTACAGAYTCCATCACCATAGGACTTGATGTTATATTCTGTACTTGTGCTTCTAAGAACAGACTATCATCCTACAATAACACACAATAAATTTTACCTGTTAGTAAAGTGCAAATACATTGTTTACTACTTGAATAGTGCTAA